TTGCATCAAGTGTATTTTATATTAAAATTTTATATTTTTATGTAGTTTTTTCGTACTTTTTTTTGATATACAATTTAGTAAAATGAAAAGATTTTTAGAAAGCGAAATCGCAAATACTAAATTTTTAAGTTTTTTTCTTTCTGTGCATTACTCAATTAAATACTTTATTTTTATTATATATTTTTATATTTTATATTATCTCATTTTGTAATTCCTAATGAAATAAAATTCTATAGATACATATAACATAAACGTATACATTATTAATAAGCAAAAAAAAAATGGTCAGGTGGTACGTAAAAATTTTCAAATTGTGTAAGTGGTACGCGACTATAAAAAGGTTGAGAACCGCTGCTATAGCTCGATTAGCGCTCCTCAAATCCCTATTTTCAATCTGAAGTTCTGAGACTAATGCGCGAAGTTGTTCTATCTCGGACTTCAAGTCAATGTTCCTACTCTGTAGGTCAACGTCATATCTCACCAACCCTCCACTCACTACTGATGTACAATCGGCTAATTGCGTAACGTTCACGGGTGCTAAGGGTGCGGTGTTGTAGAAGTAATTGTGTTGATGATGTGATCTTATACCAGGCATACGCCTACTGTCATTATTTAATCTGTTGAAATCTATTCTATTCGAAGGATGGTCAACGTGGCTATTGCTTACTCCTTCAGGCGCCTTGCCAGCATAATAATCGAAGTTCATGGTGTCAGATATATAGTGTATTCATTTTTCGATATAATCTTGGAAACATGTTGCATGTTGCATGTTACATGTTTCAATCTTCAACGACCATAAATTAACCGTTTACAAATCAGATTGAAAGAATACAATTAACGTAGGACTACCTTCACCGTTTGTACTTTAAATCGTCAATGACCATGATTTAAAGCGTATGTAGAATTGCGTGGCTACTCAAACAAAACATATAATTTTCGGGTAGGAAAAACTTTTATTAAAATATAAAACAAACATAAATAATTCAATTATTTAAAATACTTAATCTACACCACGACTGCCGAATTACTCGTACAATCGTCGTACCTGTGTCCTCGCCGTAACACCAGCGACAACGGGACTCTCCGTGCCTGCGCGTACGGCGGCGTTATATAGTAATATAATTATTGCTGCCTCAGCACATCTTGCTTCATTGGCCTGACCTAAGTCAACAATTTATAATAAAAATGTTCCCACCTATATTATGTGTACATTATAGTAACGACTGTCTACAATATACGACATTATAAACTAATGTATATTAATGGTTATAATTTATTATTATATTTTATATTTATATCTTTTATATAAGAAAATACTACGTGTTAATCATAATTGACTAACATGTTTAATACTTCAGAACTACAGTTCTCCTCCGAACCAAAAATTGTTCGGTTATCTCTGTTTTTTTCTCACATTTTTCCAAGTTAGGACTACTCTTTCGGCTAATTTCCCTACGACTCCGCCTCTGCATCTTAATTTGTTGAACACTCGACTAATTTCAGTGGCTCTTAAAAGTTAGAAAATAAATGTACCTAACATTTCAGGCACTTAAGACATCCTCTCTCTTCTTCTAGAATGTCCACAATTGACCTTCGCCCACATTCATCTTCATTATTTTTATCAATGGTCAACCTAGCATCTTGTCATATGTTTTATAAAATATTATTTTGGTTGAAATGTACTATACAGTTTTACCTGTTGTAATGACTTGTGATCTTCACACTTAAAGAATTGGTGTGGTAATTTAATTTCTTTATTACAAATTTGTGTCTTTTAAGTCATGAAATTTTCCATTTTATTTGAGAAGAGTTTCAATTATTATATAAACTAAAAACAATTTTATGCTTGTAGATGATTATTAATTCATAAGTACATTTACTGTATAATAGTTATATATTTAGTTAATTGAAAACGATGAATGTTTGATACAATTTAGATCTCAGTTTTAGATTTATGTTTTTTATCTGGTTTTTTACAAAAACTACAATTAAATCATTTTTTAATAGAACAAAATGTTTGAGTCTTCATTTTATTTTTACATTATAACTTTATTATTAATTGTGTATACTTATATAATACCTATTTGTTCTTATCTACCATATTTGCATTAACATTGATATACATTTGTTTTAGGTTAAAACAAATAAAAAATAAAAAAAGATGCTTTATATGTGTTATTATTATTATGCATAATAATTGTAAGTTGAAAATTCAACTCATATATGATCAAGTTAGCTGTGATTTGATGTATTATTCAATAAATGCATATGTATGAGCCCCTGGCGTGATCTAACAATTCGCAAGCTCTTAAATGTATATTTGAATGAACATGTTGAATTTCAACCCAAAATATAAAACAAATACTTATTGGTTGTACATGTTAGCTAATTAGCATATGTGGTAAAAGCCTGCATGTGTATTTATACACAACAGCTATATTATATGTCTATACCCAATGGTGTTATAGGAAACACGGTATATTAACAGTGAACAAGTTTATAATGCAATGCGTAGTAAAGAATATTTAAAAATAGTTGTTATATATAGTGTGTATAGTTAGTTTTATTTTTATTCTGTATAAAATAATTTACTGATCATACAAGTTTTATGTAAGGTTAAGCTATTGTTATTAATTGGTGATGTAGTAAATATGTAAACAACCAGCTATAAAATGTAAATTACACTACCTGAAAAACATTGAATTAAAAAAAAAAAAGAAAAAGAATGGTTTTTGTGTAACAATGTTAATATTATATAATGAACCATTGCTTTCCATTAGATTTTTATGTTGTATGGACAATTATCGTTTTGAAGAGTTTAAATTAAAAAGAAACAATTACAAAAACATCACAAGCGTAAAATACAATTTTTTTTATAAAATAATTGGTTTACTAGTTCGGTTTTATTTTTGTTTTATTATCAACAAAAAATAATGATTTTTTACAACGTATTTGTGCTAGGTTGTACCATCTAAATCCTACATTGTATCGTGTTTACATTCATTATAATATGGCAGTTAGTAAAATATTATACAATATTTATGAAATAAATTTGGTTTTAATATTTTTCATTAATCCAAATAAAAAATCAGATTTAATAATAATTTAGAATTGAGTTAGCTATTTTTGTATTGGTATAGTCTGATATGAACAAAATGGTACTATCGTTGTTGGATATGATTCTTCAAGGCTGATAAATCCGCCCTGTCTCCTCTAGCAGGAGCTGCCGCTTTACTTGCCCTAAAAGTCCTCCTACCCAACACCTCAGTCCACGGTACTTGAGCTGTGGTGGTGGATTTTCCGGTCTCTCCTAAGGGCGTACCATTGGGTACCTAATTCTATTTGTTTTTTTTTTTGTTTTTTTTCCCTTAGAGGTATCATGGAGATCTTACTCCATAACTGTGTCGTCGCCCTGGTGGTGCCTGCAGGTCGGAATGGGTTCAGTTGGAGGTGCGTTGTTGGGTGGTTCGACACCGGAACAGCATTGGTTGTGGCTCTTACCACCTATCAGATAGTGTATGTTGCCGTTGAGTAAATGTTGCTCCTTATTGTGGACTTTCGCACAAAAATTCTTTCAAGATCTGAATTTTTTTCTGCCGCTTTACTTGCCCTAAAAGGCCTCCTACCCAACACCTCAGTCCACGGTACTTGAGCTCGATGGTACTAAAGCTCTAATTTGTTTTAATCAAACTCGTAATTATTTTATACTTTTAGTTGTACATTTTTCACATATTTTCGGAAAATTACAATTAAAATAACATAAATTTAACCAACTGGAAACATATAGAAATTATTCTCAAAATATTGTTACTTTACGCTGATAACTTAATTGTATTATAATATTATGGCACAGTTTAAAATTGAATATTACAAAAAAAAACAAAATCGTGATCTAATTTGTATTGGGGCCCTAGCCTCTATATATACGAATATACGAAGGCGACGTCCTTTGAATTGAGCGGCGCGTGGCATGTAGGCGCCCTTGGAAAGTTGTAGTGGTTTGGAGCGTCTATTCTAGCTATGACCACTCGTAGGTGCGGTCGACTAGGCCGCCTTTCACATAGGTGGTTCTTGTTATTATGAGCGTTTACATTTGTTTTTTCGTAACATTGTAATTTTTTATATTTTGATAAATATATAATTATAATTGTCATATAAATGATGCTTGTGATTACATAAAGTACGTAATCGTTTAGTTGTTGCGTACTTTTTAGTCGATTTTGTCGATTTTGTGATCGACCTTGCGTTGTTTTCTAGTTGTTTCTTTGAACCTGACACTGTATGTAGGTCATCCATGTTGTTTGATTTACATGGTAATCTTCCATTAAGTTGTTGTTGTCGGTGTACGGCATGTTCTTAATTCGTTCTATAGTCGATTTTGGGTTGAAATCCATGTATTCGGATTTGTAGTCGACTTTTCCAGGTTTAAGTACGTCTCTTGCGGCGTATCCTTTGCAAGTCTGGTTGAGTCGCAAAATACCTACTCCCCTTAGTGTGTGGCTTGTGGATTATTTATCCTCGTCGCATGTAATGAATACTACGTCGTAATTGGTAACGTATATCCACTCGTTCTTGAACCGTTTCTTATGGAATATGGAATATGTACGTGCATGATTTCGCAAGTTGATGGAACTTTTATTGGGTCCTGTAGAAGTTGTACTTCGCATGCTGGTCTACTCGTACGTGGGTATAAAGGATTACCTTCAGGACATAAAAGGAAGTCTCTAGCGTGTTTACAATGGGTATAGTAAAATTCGTCATACATGGCGTAGTGCTCTTTAGTTTTACTTATAGCTAGATACTTATTACTAGGTTTTACATAAAGACAATCGTTTCCAGTGCATTCCGGAACAGGTATTAAATTATATAAAATAAAATCATTTTGATAGATTAAAGGTAAAGCGAGTATAAACACTAAGTTGTCATTCGCATAATATATACTAAGGTCTGAGAGCTTTACCAATTCATAAATATTTTATATATCTAAGTCAGTGGGTAAGTCAGTGCCCCCAGGTAATGATACTTTGAAACGCTGCGGTGTAGGCTATGGATGACCTCTGTCCTACGTAGTCAGATCTGATGGGTACCGCAGCCCATGTCCGGTCAATGTCATTCTTGTTAAAGATGTTGTCATCGTCCATTACCCCTGTCTTGTTCAACATCACACCTATGAAGTTGTCTAGCGTTGTAGCTGCTATTCTGCCAATGGGCGTTCTCCTATTAGCGGTTGTGATCTCCGTCCCCACATATTCCACTGTGCTCCAACCTCTAATCAACTGATAGACAATTATCTCGCGTTCGTACGCGCCTCGGTCTAATGAGTTGAACATACATCCGATCCTAACTAATGGGACCACTTCGAACCTGGATGTTTGTGACTCGTTCAGTGTACGGGCCAACGCAAGAATTGACGTGGAGTCTCTGATGTTCACTCCTTTTGCCATCGATTACATGTTTCCTGCTTTGTCGGGGTTTGTCAATCGCTCTATTATTCTAGAGTAAAGGTTACTGAACGGAATTGCGGAAGTATGTTCGTAATGCTTCCGGTACGACGTGACTGATACGCATCTGAGTGGTAGTGTGTCAGAATACCAACATCTGAGGTCTGCGACATTGAGGTCGGGTGGCTCGACGTGATCTTGGACTCCTGGCCCCCTTTCCCGGGACGCTGATCCTGACTGAATGACGGGTGCCGGTATTATGTCTTCCATACGTGCAGCGTAATCAGCTGATAGATCGGGGTGTCGCAACACCCTGGGTGCGCGAACTTCGTCTGGCGTCCGCAAATTTGGAAGGTTTTGAACTAGTCCGTCCATCACCCACCAGGGCCGTTCGTTTCTGGCCGTTGTGTATGGCACATTCTGGACCGCGATTCCGGCGAAGCTTCCGTTGACATGGTTCTCCGTTGCATTGTGCGCATCGCCTGGAAGCACCCCTTGCCTCGTCAGGTACATGTGGTTTCCTCCGGGTACCGGCCTGTACGACACGACGTACATACCGAGGCCAACAACATCTGCCACATTCCTTCCATTTGTACTCCAGTCTGCGAGGAATGTTGCTTCGTTCTGCGTCAGGTCCGCGTAGTATGCGGATATGCCAGTTGGCACTACCAGTGTAGCTGCGACTGGCTCCTGCCCCACCGCGGGTTGTTGTTCTGCATTACGGCGGTCGCGATTATGCGCACCATTCGCCAATATTAGGCGCTGCACCCGCGTTGTTGCTAGCTGCTTCTTTGTTACTAGACCTGCCGCCCTGTTTCCGTTCACCTTCTTTCCGTCCGCGTACATGTCGGCGTCTGTGTCCTCCCACTCCTCCTGCTCCGTCGGAACGTCCGGTTCCGGAAGCTCGTTTTCCCCGTCGACTAGCGCCCGGCGGGCCCTTGCTGGTTGGGCTCCTACGCCAGAGTAGTAGTACGATGCTACAAATGACCGCGATGCACAGTCCCACGACGTATAGGATTGGGTTTTGGAACCAACCTTTGTCGCGGCGTCCATCCCTGCTTGCATCACGCCGAGTCTTAGGGTCGTGGAGCCGACCTGTGGAAGTGGCTTTGATATCAAGGCAGCCACGGCCTCTACGGGACGTGGTGATGGGAGCACCTCTTTCGGCACCTCCCTCATCAGGACATGACCGGATCCAGACATCATCTAGTTCTCCCAGCTCCCTTATCAGTGGGGCCTGTTCCCACCCTTTATTATCCAGGTTATCTGTTACGGGGCCTGCTCCCGTAAGCTTATTAGGCAGGTTTTATCTGAAAGAGACAAATGCAGACTCAGTTCTCACAGTGGTGAGGATTCCGTTTATACACTGGTCCGTGTTTTGCTCTTATCGTCAGTCAAATTGTAAGTGCTATTACAAAGGTGATAAATCTTTGCTTTTCGCTTCTGAGGGCAAAACCGTCAAAGTACTCTTACACCGTGCATCCGACACGGGCAAATGGGCGTACTACCTCCATTGCCAAGATCTGAGTCAGATCAACCCAGGCTGATTGCTGATGGTCCTTCTAGTCATTCTGGAGCTCTGATTCCTGGTTGGTCAGTGAGGAAGCTCAATCCTGCTCTTTTGAACATATACTGGGACCTGGTAGGCGCTCCTCTCGCGCTTCCGGTAAACGCGTCAGCAGAGACCCACGCTGACCGTCCTTGTGAATTTTTAACGAAGTCGTGCGATGCTACAATGCCACGGAGGGCTGTATTTACGGGGAAGCGTTCGGCGTACTGGTGGAATAACGAAATAGCGGAGCTTCATAAGGTCGCCACTGCTGCCCGCAGGACTTATCAGCGGGCCGGTCGCCGATCGTCTACGTCTCCTCGAGAACAGGAGCGCGCGACATATCAAAGAGCGAGACTGGATCTAAAACACGCAATAAAGAAGTCACAGGCGGATAGCTGGCGCCAGCTGTGTCTGTCTGTCGAAAACGATCCATGGGGCGTCCCATACAAATTGGTATCAAAAAGACTCGGCAGCCGTGCCCCGGACTTGAGTCATGACTTGGTAGTCAGCGTGGCCCAGGGATTGTTCCCGTTGTCTCCCCACACCGACTGGGCTCGGATTCCTAATGTTTCCCAGCAGCCGACTGTTATACTGGATTTACCCCTGAGGCTCGATAACGGCCATCTGGCACCGCCCATTACTGCTCAGGAAATAAGCACCGCCGTCGCCAGGCTACCGTCAGGCAAGGCGCCGGGTCCAGATCAAGTCCCGAACGAAGCCATTAGAGTGGCCTATAACCAAGTTCATTTGCTCCACGGTGGCTGTTGGATTCATCCCAAACATAACATTCGGTGTTTTTTTTAATTAGATCAGTAATTGTAAAATTTAGGACATTCAATTTAGAGGAATAGTAAAAAGCTGAACATTCACCTTTTGGTAATGGAATGACTGCTTGTAAATCATAAACCGCTAATACAGCTTTATCCACTAGTGTCTGTTTGTCATTATCCTTCTCTTTTCTTGATAGCTCTTTTTCTACCAAATGCCGTCACTGTTACCGTCTTCTTCGTCGTTGTTTTCTGTTTCTTCGGGGCTGGAGTCGCTGAATGACGTTCGCTCTTGCGCTTGGGTGAACCAGAGTTGCAAGATATCTCGTCCTGTGATGAGCTCGTCATTGTCTCTTTGCATTCTTTTTCGAACTGTATTACCAAAATACATTATTGTGTTCGCTATAATTTCGAGATTACTCGTAACACTGTTTCGTAAAAAAGTACGGTAGCACAGAGTTACTTTCAAGGCGAAATAAAAAAACACACTGAAAAGGCCTTATTTATATAAGTCGGGAAAATGATAATATTGTGTAAATTGATATTATAAATATTATCGATAACATATTACTGAAAAACGCTGATTATGTATTACGTAATTGGGCTGCCGAAATACACGAGCTGGATGCTTGCTCAAATATTATAAAATAATATTTCAACTCGCATCAACATTTCCAAATATTGTGAGCTTAGTCATCATGCCCTTCACCAGTTCAAAGTCAATGCCTTTCGCCCTCATGGGGTTTATCGCTAGAATCGAATCGTCAGTTAACCGAAGGATGATCTTTTTCTCCATAATATAAACGGTAATCGACTTAAAATCCTTCACAATCATATCGATGTCATTCCTTTTTTCCACTTTGTCTTCAATGTTGAAATTAATTTCCTCGATCTTATCATCCACCATCTTGATCATATAAAATCCTTTGAAACTAAACATTTTTTTTTGAATTATGTCATAATTTGGCACATTGAAAAAATCCTATTTGCCATCCCTGTATTAGTTTATCGACTATAAATTAAAACACGTTGATGGACAGTTTCGTAGCCGCAGTGGAAAAAAAACGATCTTTAAAACTTCAATTTTTATTACTGCTGTAACTGTAATGCTTTTAGTACTGCTGTAGGGTTTTATGCTATAGGGCAGTGCAAAATTGTCCACTAAGATGTCGGGGGACACAACAATCTATCACATCATACCGCACCATTGAAAATATCACTGCTATAGCAGTGATGACAATTTATGGAAGGTTTTTATGATACTGCTATAGCAGTAATATTTAAAAGTGTCCCCCGACATCAATTTTTTTAATTACTACCATGGCAGTAGTGCCCACCAACGTGTTAATAGCTCTTCTCAAGGTTCATCAGATAGTGTATGTTGTTGCCGTTGAGTAAATGCTGCTCCTTATGCAACAGCATATGACTTATAGAGTTTAGACTTATTAAATATAGACTGAATACATTTGAATAATATTTTTAACAGGTTAATATTACATTATAATGAACCTTCTCAACTTATCATCTTGTACAAGCACAAGATGGCTCTACTTAGTTTTACTGGTTTGTACCTTTCCAAGTTGTTGGAGATTGCGCAAGACATCAATAGTACAATAGTATTTCTGTTTTGTTCTTTATCCCTTTCAGGACAGCACCTTTATAACGTTGAAAAAGTAACAATTTTTTTGCCAATTTCAAAATTTTTCCTATTTGTAAGATGGTATTTGAAAAAAAAAAAAATATTTTTTTTTATCCTTCATCCTTATTTTATCCTGGGACTTAAAAGTCCCGTCGGTCCTCTATGGTCTGGACTTAAAAGTCTCGGTAGTCATCAAAGTCATTTTTTTTTTACATACAAGCAATGTAAAAATAATTATAAAATTAAGGACTTTACAATTACAATTTAAAAAAAATATGTAAACAACCACTTATGCATTTTTAAAACTTAGTGTTATATTCTATTATCAAAAATAAAGTTAATACTTTTTAACGATAATTAATTAATTAAATAAGTTCTGTAATTAATAACTATAATGGTATTGAGAAATAAGAATTCAGACAGTGATTTAGTAGCATTCAGATGCAACTGGAAAACCCCGTAATAAGTTACGTTGTAGTTACGTTGTGACTGCTAAACTTCTAGTCGGCCTTCAACATTCGACGTGTTAGTCGATATTTGTGAAATATTTTTACATCATTTTAAATGTTTAATAAAAACGTAACGTTTATAAAATGTCGTTTCACACATACAACAGATATATTTGTTACGTTTACATACATGTCTATTTGCATTTATGAGGTAAAATTCGTTACAATAGTCGCAAATTTTTTTAGATAATCCAAACGGGTTTTGCATTTGTTGAGTTGTTATTGTACTTTGCATATCTTTAAGTGTTCTTTTACCGTGGTTTCGTATTTTTTTATCGTTTAAATGTTCCAAATTTCTCACTGTGAACAAACAAAATAAAAATCAATAATGATATTATACGAGGTCTATTCAGAAAGTAACCTCCGGTTGATTGAAAAAAATACACCAAGTTAAGTAAAAATATTTTAATATATACATCTTACAACTACATCTTTGAACTATTTTTCGACATAGTCTCCATCACGATTGAGGCACTTATCGTATCTCTTCACAAGCTTTGAAATTCCTTCTGCATAAAAATCACCCGCTTGTGCCTTGAGCCAGCCTGTGACCGCATCTTTGAGCTCTTCGTCGTCATCAAACCGCTGGGACCCGAGCCATTTCCGATTGTATCCCTATGTTGGTTTTATTGTCTGCAGATATACACGATTTATATTCGTTACATAGTTTGTCCACGTAACCGTTTTCAGTAACCGACTCGTTTTTGTCTTCTAATATTTTGCACGGATCAATATTGTTAAACGAGATGTGACTATTGTCAGAACCGTTGAACATACGGTATGTAATTCTACAATATAAATCTTTTTTGAGCTTTGTGCCTTTCCAAGTTGTTGGAGATTGCGCAGGACACCAATAGTACAATAGTATTTCTGTTTTGTTAAACATAGTGGATTTGAAATCCACTATAAAGAAATGGATCTGAGAACTAAAATATAAATTATATTATTTACCTAATTTAATATATTATTATTTTTTTTTTCTCTTTTTTTTATTTCTTATATGTTTAATATAGGAATATATTCTTAACACCTGAAACAAAAACTTATTTCTTTAAATGACCAATAGACAGAATAGGTCTTGCAATTAGTTGTTCAGTAGTATAAAAAGGGGGCTTCTGATGCCACAACCCATTATCCCATTATCCTTGCATTATCCCCTCATCCTCATCACTCATCATACCGCCCGCACTCGCACTCGCACCCACAACAAAAAGAGTTTGCGTTTTGCGTTCCGTTTTTTCGCGGGCTTGCCGCCTAGAATAGAGTGGTTGTTTTCGTCAACAGCAGGGCTCGTTGGTAGAGGTTCGATGTATTTATCATGCCATGGAGGGTACTGCCCACAATTGTCTAAACAGTCGAACGATGGTGGACTGGTAGGCTAAACAAATAATAATTATTTGTCAATATATATGTATAAATGATATGACGTGTATATTACCGATGTCTTGGTTGGTGCCCATGTCGCCTGTGTAGGGTTGATTTGCATTAAAAATTCATTGATACCCCTTTCTTCGTCAGCTCCCTATAAAAATTAAAATAATTAATACTTATGTTTATTTGAAATTTATAAATTATAAATTACCCTTGCTTGTGAGCAGTCTTCAGAGTTATAATGCAATGGCGACATGGCTGAGTATTGAGGCGGTGATATGAGCCTCATTTCAGATTCGGTGAAAAACTATAAAATAATAAAAATATGTATTGTATTTTTCCGATTGAATAAGTTTTAAAGACTTACCTCTGGTTCTCCACTCCAACGTTGCGCCCAATGTTCGGATAATTGAGATGAAGCATACATTTTGAGTTGACTGATGAAATCCATGTCTTCTTTAGGATTGGATTCAATAATTTTATCGTCACTTAAATTTTTGATAAAAACGATCATTTCTTCGGGTGTCTTTGGTGGTAAATCAACTTTGGTAAATTCCTGGTCCAAATAATTACCCATAATCTCAAACTGTTTTAAGACAAGTGGTCGTATGATGTTTGACTTTCGAATGACTGTTTCGAAAATACACCGCTCCAAATATTGCAACTGTATTAGGTCCACGCGATTCAACAGTACTCTGCACCCGTCCTGAGTTTTTGACTCTATTACTAGCACATTTTCTCCACCATACACCATACTAGACAGCGAAATAATTTCGGTTTCCAGAAATAAATTTCGCTTATATTTTTGCGGTTGATCCAAAATAAATGACAATATATTTCCCATCAGAGAGAATATACGTCTTAAAAAATCGGCTGGCATATTTACATACCGCGATGGTGTGATTATTTGGACTACGATATTGAATTCGTCTGTAGGATCAAGTCCTACATTCAAAAACTTACGGCCGGTGAAGTCAAGTGTAAAATTATTGCAGTCGATGAGGTCCGCAGGTGGTGTTGGTGGAACATAGGTAAAATTCTTCTTTTTGTATAGGGCATCGTTGTTGGTGAAAGAATCAGCCATGTTTAAAATTATTTTTAAACACTATTAGATAAACTGTTTTAAAAAAATCTTAGAGAGCAAGAAAAATATACGTGTACACTGGTTTAACGCAGTAGACGGACTAAAGAGAAGTGCCAGTTGTTTCAGCATAGTGCCATAGTATAATAACCGTGTGAATTGTCCCTTCTTCGATATGGCAGATACTTGTATTATTATTAGAGGTGGCTATTAAGACATCCTGGCTATGACAATAAGTAGGCTATTAGGGTTAATGTATTTTTCATTAATTGGTATCTTCTATTCGATATACTATAGGTATAATGGTCATTTATTGATTGTTCGGCGAGCGTGCGAACGGATTTATATTTTAGCCTTCTCTGTTTCGCTAGAAATGTTTACCTTTTTCAAACATGGGAAAAAGATTATTAGCAGAAAATTGTGAAAATAAATGTACC